TGCCTCATGTTTACGGGTCTCTTCAGTTACTTGACTATTTACATAGCATGTCTCTGTCTCAAGATGTCGACAGTGCAACATTAGCCCAATATTTACTTCCAAACATAAACAAGCTCCCTCTGAATCTCTCCGCACATGGTTTTAATTGTGGCCGTGTGAAGGGCATGTGCATGTGTGTGTGCGTTTTTTTTTTCCTTTGGAGAAGCAAAGATGAGTTCTCACAGCCCAATTTGGAGGGAAGGTGATCACCCAGTGACCTCTAAAGGGGCTGCCAAACCTTACACATTCTCTGAGCCATTTCACAGATTTATTTTTCTAAACGTTTCTGCCTGAGGTCAGAAGTAATGCTCTCAAATAAAAACCATGAACCCATAGCCAACCCTGAGGCAGCAGGCTCTTGGAACAGCCCCAGCTGACACAGCTTGAGGCAGCCTTTTCTTGAGGGCGGCAAAGACATTCTGCAGACTGCTCTGCTGCCACTTGGGTATTCAGGTCCTAGGCCTTCTGGGAAGGGACTGGCCATAGGGCTGGCAAAGTGGCACTTTCCCTTTTCTCCAAATCATCTCGGCTTGCGAGAAAGGAGAGGAGATGGAGGGTCCTTGGCTGAAAGCAGTGGAGGAGGACTCAGAGTGTTCCCCATCACTGAGTGGCAGACAGACAGAAGGGGAGATAGGAGGAAGGCATGAGAGAGGCGGGGGGGGGGTGTGGAGCCCTAAATGAGGGAAAGAAGGTGTCTTTTTTCCAAAGGAAACAACACTCCTAGGCACTTTGCTGTCTTTTCACAGGAGCTAGGTTGGCTTAATGAGCTGAAGGCATTTCTTAAAGTCACATACAAAACTGTTATCCCTCCTGCACCTCACACAATTAAACTTCATGCTCATAAACAGGCCTGTATGATTGTCTTGAAGAGGTGCCAGGCTCAGGCATCTTCAAGCCCAGTCAGGAGCTGAAGGAAAGGAGAAGGAACTCATTTGGATTTTTCCTCCTTTAAAAGAGTTTCATATTTCAAAGTTTTCTTCCTGCATGGTGGTTTGGCAAGCTACTGTAATCCTTGCACATAAAGTTTAAATTATGGTTCCCAGTGCCTGCTAACATCTCGGTGTTGGGAAAGCTGATTAGAATCTATTTCAGAATTTGAAGAGGGGTCTGGTTAGCTTGGGGCCCTGGTTGTGGATTTTGCTTTGGAGCCAGGGCCTGCTGCCGCCAAGCATGAGAGAATGCCTGAGATGCCAGTAGATGGGCTTTTTTCTGAAAGGCCCTGGGGACCTACAGAGAGTTAGAGGCAGATGAGGAGGCAGGATACAGGCAGGGAGCCTGCGGCTCAACTCTGGCAAAGGTATTCGCTGCTTCATCAGGCCTTTCAGTTTTAGAGAAACAGTTAACAGCACCACACTGTACGTGTAGGAAAGCCTAGTGACTGGTGGAGAGCTCAACTCCTGCTCACTCCCTCACCCCTCTGTCCAGCTCTCTCTGACAGCTTTTCTCAGAGGTCAGGATTGAGGGAGGGCTATTGTTTTATCTCTGCCCCTTTGCCCAGGGGCCCAATACTGTGTACTGAAGGAAGGTGCTGGCCATGTGCCATTGTCACGCATCAGCACTGCCAGATGCTCTATGCAGCTTGCAGTACTGTGTCATGATTCGTGTTTGTGCAACACTTTTTGAGGAA